ACAGGTCAATTTTGTTTACTCAAAGCGAAATTTTTTAAATAGAATTCAATTTTTCCCCACTTCACATTTTTGGGCAGTGACGTCATTGACAATTTTTTTAAATAGTAACCCCAATTTCTTTTTCTTGATTTTAATAGATCTTGCAATTTCCTACTCGGAAACATAATATTTGAAATATCTTACATAACAATTTTTTTTGAATAAAAGACATTTAAAGCTGAGACATATAAATTTTATTTTATTTTGAGAACACAATAAATGAATAAAAGATAGTTATTTGTAATTAAGTGCTTAATCTAACAAAATAATTAATAATAATAATAATAATAATAATAATAATAATAATAATAATAATAATAATAATAATAATAATAATAATAATAATAATAATAATAATAATAATAATAATAATAATAATAATAATAATAATAATAATAATAATAATAATAATAATAATAATAATAATAATAATAATAATAATAATAATAATAATAATAATAATAATAATAATAATAATAATAATAATAATAATAATAATATTAATAATTATAATAATAATAATAATAATAATATTAATAATAATAATAATAATAATAATAATAATAATAATAATAAAAAAGAATTTGTGAAATTGTCATTAAATTCTTTTTTTTATTATTATTATTATTTTTTTAGATGATGCACTTAATTACAAATAATCTTTTATTCATTTATTGTGTTTCAAAATAAAATAAATTTTATGTATCTGATCTTTAAATGACTTTTATTCAAAAAAAATTGTTATGTCAGATATTTCAAATATTATGTTTCCGAGTAGGAAATTGCAAGATCTATCAAAATCAAGAAAAAAAAAATTGGGTTTACCATTTAAAAAAATTGTCAATGACGTCACTGCCCAAAAATGGGAAGTGGGGGAAAATTAAATTCTATTTAATAAATTGCGCTTTTAGTAAACAAAATTGACCTGTCCGAGCATTTTCTCGAAAAACCACCTACTTCCATTATAATGAATTTATTCCTTTCATTTGAACCATACTGTATACCATAAGCATGGAGAAGAGCCAGAGTCACCTTATTCCAAAAGTAGGGGAAAAAGATACCACACATTCTAAATCCTTTCGACCAATCAACCTCACATCCTTTGTATTAAAAACAATGGAGAAGGCTGTTGATGATTATATCAGAACAGAAGTCCTGGAGAGGGTGCCACTCCACCACAGCCAACACGCGTACCGAGCAGGAAGATCTACAGAAACTGCCCCGGTATAGTTGAATGAGGTAATCCAGCATGCACTGACAAACAAAGAAAGGGTCGTGTGTGCCTTCCTAGACATAGAAGAAGCTCTTGACAACACGCCACACGAATCTGTAAAAAGAGCACTTGCATATAGAGGAGTAGATAACATCACATCCAGATGGATGGCTCAGCTCTACGAAATCTGCAGAGACACAGAAAGGGCAGGAAATCATCTCCATCTGCACAACCAGAGGATGTCCACAAGGAGGAGTGCTATCCCCACTAATGTGGAGCCTAATCGTAGACGAACTTCTATGCAGATTGACTAACCTCGACATACCCTTTTAAGGTTATGCCGACGACATAGTCATATTTGCCAGAGGCAAGTTTAGTAATATCCTACGAGGACTAGAACATACCGAAAGATGGTTTTGTGAACCCTACAAAAACAACACTAGTAGCCTTTTCAAGGAAAAGAAAACCTTATCTCAAAACCGTTAAATTAGTCAGAATAGATATAGAATAGAAAAATAAAGTCAAATATCTAGGCCTAACCCTGGACAACAAACTTCTCTGGAACACACATGAGAAAGAAATAGTAAATAAGGTCACGAAAGCCCTAATGGTATGCAGAAACATTGCAGGCAAACGGTGGACATGTAACCCAAACATACTGCGATGGATGTATACTGCAATAGTGAGACCAATCATCACTTACGGGACTATAGCCTGGAGTAACAGAACTAGTTTAGCTACTACGAGAGCTAATACCTCAAGGTATAAAGACAAGCCTTTGTTTGCATGACTGGTGTAATGAGAACCTATCCTACGGCCGCAATGGAGGTGATCTTAAACCTCACCTCTCTACATTTGATGATAGAGAATGTGGCAAAAAGGACACGGTATAGAATGATCAGAAATGGAGTAATCAGACGAAAGTCTACTTGCTTTAGGAGTAAAGATACCTGGGACATACCCCAGGATGAAATGCTAAAGAAGTAGTTTTGTGAAAAACTTCAAAACCACAGAGCTGGGCTGCAAGAGAGAATGAAGTTGAGAATCCATCGCGCTTAAAATCGAAAGACGTGCTATTCAGTGGTATACGGATGGTTCCAAAACCATAGAAGGAACTGGAATAGGAGTGTATCGGCCGAGAACCAAGCACTCTGAAAGCTTGGGAAAATACCCAAGCATCTTCCAGGCGGAAATTCACGCCATCGAGAAGTGTATCCAGTTCAACATCGAGAGAAACTATCATAGATAAGAGATTATCATCATGTCCGATAGTCAAGCAGCCATCAATGCGCTGAGCTCTTACGCAATCAGCTCAAAAATGGTCTGGAGATGCCTGGAACAATTGAATGAGCTAGGCAAGAAAAATAGAGTTACTCTTGCTTGAGTCCCGGGACATAACGGGGTACAAGGTAACGAGATTTGAGATAGTCTTGCAAGAAAAGATGCTCAAACACCCTTTGTAGGACTTGAGCCGTTCTGCGGTATCAGCAGTAACATAATATTAGAAGAGATTAAAAAAGAATTAGGCAGTAGAAGAACCGATAATTGGAACAATCTCTTGGGTCAGAGACAGACCAAGATACTTCTGGGTGAATACAACCAGAAAAGATCGGAAGCCTGCATCTGCCTGAGCAAGAACAGGCTACGTATTGTAATAGGGATCCTTACCGGGCATTGCCTACTAAAAGGACATCTAAGTAAAGTAAGAGTAGTAAAGGATAGTGAGTGCAGATTTTGTGAGGACGAGGACGTCCATTCACATTCTACCTGAATGTGTTGCACTCCAGAATCCAAGGGCTCTATATCTAGAAGGATATCAAATAGAAAAGGGAGATTTACCTAACTTGAAGCCACTTCAAATTCTACACTTCCTTGAGAAAATAGGATTGGAAGGGTCGTTATAGGCATTGAGACATTTCCTTGGTGCATTGGCGATAGAAGGGGGCACAACAGATATTTTAGGTCGCAGTGTATTAACACCCAATTCTCAACATAACTTGTGGTACAAAAAGAACTCACTTCTACTCTAGTGAATTTATTCCCCAATAATTTAAATCAACGGATGTCCTTTCAACAAGACTAAACACCACCACATTTTGTTTAAACTGTATAGACCTATCTCAACGAAGTATTTCCAAATGTGTTATTTGGAAGAGGGGACATTCAGATTATAAAAAATCGATGATGGTGGTTGGGTATGGATTTTTCTCACCTGTAAGTCAAATTGCACCATCAAACATCTTTAAGTCGCCCGGATTTTTATTGTTAGTATTATATTAGTTAGACTTTTTACTCTGTATAAAGCCATTGTCATACTACTATACTATCTCGTGATTTAGATTCTCATGGTTTCACTAAATCGTACTTCCCACCTTATATATTATGTGTGAAGTTGGAAATAGCAAAATTGACGATATTATTTGGGAAAACAACCTGCCACACAGATCTCATGCATTAACACTTAGGAATGGCACGAGTTAAGTTACTATAATCAGTGCATACCACCCTAAAAAGGAGGAGAACTCTAATAGCCGGGTATCAGAAAAATGAAACGTCCTAGAAAGATGTAAAATAAAACTTAATATAAAATAAAAAATAAACAAAAAAAAACTATCTAAAACTTTAAACGTATTTTAGGTAAATTCACTGAGGTTTAGCTAAGATATTTATAGAAAAGTTTTTGTGTAGAATTTAAAGGCGAAAACTTTTGGTTTTATATATATTTTTTTTATGTATGAACAACGGGTTGCGAGGATATTGAGAAACACCGGCGCGCTGTACCATCCTTTGCTGTCTTTTTGCTTTTTGCAAAATAAAGGATGTTGCGAACACTGCGCACTTGAAAGTTTTCCAGTGTTTTGTTCCTAACACCACAAGGAAAGTGTATTCGTAATATGAAAACTTCATGAAATATTTCTTTTATTCCAGGTTGATAGGTTAAATTTCCGTGTACTAATAAATGAAACCGTATGTGGGTAAAAAATTGAAAATTAAAATTCGTCTTATAAAATAATCAGTTGCCATTACAAGATAAACTAAAACTGAACAAAAGTAATAGAATTTTCTTTTTTGAACGGGACGGTTTGCAAAACTATCGTTTCCATCCATCGTCATTAATATTGGACCAGTTTTATCTTTGTTAGGACTCATCAGCAAGCATTAGACAATCTAGACTTCTGTCTCTAAAGATGTCTGTTTGAAGCGTAGACAGTCAACTAGTAAAAAAATATGTTCTCTAATAATTTCCAGATTGTCTATTATATCGCCTTGTTCTAGAGAACTACACAGCCTTGACTTTGCTTCCTTACTGCAAATGGCGTTACCATTTTTTTACTCGTTGACTACGTACTCCTTCTTAACCATCTTTCGTATATACAAGTTAAGGTAACACATTAAGCAGACTTCATTAGAGACTAAAGTCGAGATTGTCTTATGCTTGCCAATGAGTACTTATAAGGACGAAACCGGTCCAGATATGATGTTTTCATTTGGAAGTAAAATCTAATTTACAGAGATAAAAATTATTTTCGATATCTGTATTTGTCCTTTTGCTATAATGTAATGCCTGTTGCGATATTAGCAAGAGAGTAGTTGTTTGTAGAAGAAAACCCGTCTCTCGACTTTGATTTTAATTGGTAATATTTGAGAATTGGAATTGATTTTCCATTTTTTTTATTTATTATGGTACAGGTATGTACAAAAAATTGTTGGTATAAAGGAAAAAAAAACTCAAACAAAATATTTTTATTCATGAACAATCATACTCTTTTGTATTATTTTTCTGTTTTCCACTCAATTCGTCTTGAATTTCCAGAAAACTTTTTCCTTTCGTTTCAGGAACAAACAAAATTACAAAAATACTGGCTAGTACACCCAGTGCACTAAAAACGCAAAATACTCCACCCATTCCGAATGCATCCCGTAAAGGTGGGAAGCACAAAGTAACTAAGAATGAAAAAATAAGACATAAACACGATGCAAAACTTGCACATAAAGATTTGACATTTATAGCAAAAAGTTCACCACAAAGACTCCATGGAATTGTAGCATAGCCAAAGTTGAAAAAGATATAGTAGCTGATCAAACTAGCTAAAGGTAACCAGAAAACTGATTCCAAATTATAATTGTTTTCATTCAATATAAAGTAGGAACCCAAAGCGAATAATGAAATAGAACATCCAGCTGAAGAAATATGTAACAGTATCTTTCTTCCAAGGCTATCAACTACAAAGGTAGCGGCAGTGCATGAAATTACTTGAACAATACCAATTAGCAAAGAAGCTACATTGGAAGGAACAGCATTTCCGCTGGCTTCTAAAATGGGTTGTAAGTAGGTCAAAACTACACCAATACCTAAACTTTGTTGAAAAAAGAACAATCCACAACATACTAATAATCCCTTTTTGGTGGCAGCCGATGAAAATAAATCTCTCAATGTGACTTTATTATCTTTGGCGTCTTTAACAATATCTTGCAAACAAAGCAATTCCTTTTCAAAATTTCCATCACATCTAATTTTCTTCAAACTCTTTCCTGCTGCTTTAGTATTATCTTTAGATAAGAAATGATATGGGCTTTCGGGAACAAAAGGAATAAATGTAACAAAGAACAAAGTTACAGGAATCATTAAGATGTAAGCAAAAGTTTTAATGCTTACTAGTGGACCAACGGCAAAAGCTAAAAAGTGTCCTAAAGAATTCATGATACCGAAAACAGATCCCAAAGAACCTCTATTGGAATTTTCAGATATTTCACCTACGTAGCTGGGCAAAAGACCAAGGACACATCCTGATGCTAATCCAAGTATCAATCTTGTAATGTAGAAAATAAAAACTTCCGAAGCATTAGCTATTATTAGGTAGCAGAAAAAAAATGGTGTGCTAAAAATGATTAACGTTTTCTTGCGACCTAGTTTTTCTGCAATTATTCCTGCTAGTACGGTCCCTATAACGGAACCAAGAGTAGATATAGAAGCTATTAGGGATTCCTCAAATGGTGTTATTGGACGTCCCAAAGGATTTATGTTAGTATCGTTGCTGGTTAGTTTTCCTAGTGAGGGAGATGGCCAAGAGAACATACTGGCAGTGTTTATGGAGAGGAGGTTCACTGTAAAAAAACAAAAATGATTTGAGTTATTTTATTTTTTAATTTTATAAATGTTTATTTTATGTAACTACCTATTTATTCTTGTATATTTTTAAATTTACATTCCATTATTCAAGGATTAATTCCAAAACATTTTTAAATGTTTATAGACTTAGTGAATCTCTATTAACTATGATTAGTCTATCAAATAAATGAGGTTATATTCCCCGAAATTATTAAAAACATTAGGTATTTGTTTATTTTTTCGATAGAATGGTCTAAAGAATGTCAACTTTCTATAATTATATACGTTTATCAATTGTTTGAGAATAATGCTAAATTTTGTGATGTTGACCAAACATTGAAAATACAAGAATGGGTGATTCCACCAAAAGGGGACAAATCAGTGTCTTCGTGCATTATATCTGGAATTACTGAAGACTATATGACAATTATTAACAATTAATACTAATATGTAATATTAATCCCATATTTAAAAAAGAAACAAAAACAAAATGTGAAGTATTTCTCCATGTCCTATCCCTGATTGAAGTTGAACATGTTTCTTGCTTTTTTAATGCATTCAGTAAGTGTGTTACAGTTTGTAAACTTGAAAACAAATGTTCGTTGAATTATTTGATTACGTGTTTGAAAAAAAAAAACTTAATGATATTTTTTACTAATAAAGGAAAAAGGACTGTCCCTAAGAATTACATCCATGGACACGTCTAAACTTAATATTTCTCGAATGAAATTCCTTTGAATGTTCATGTTAAAATCACGTATCAGTATCTTCCAAGCATTCGTAGATGATAGTGTTGTTTTTTACGGGCATAAAGGACGCTTACCATTCATTACGAGGTGAGTATAATTTCATTTAGTCAACTCCATGGTTCCATTTTTTACAGGAATTATAATAATGTTTAATTATTGAGTTTAATTTTCTATTAAACATTTTGTACACCTCTCATGCCCAATCCCAGATCTTCCTTAAATACCTCTTAGTCGAAGATTTTGCATATTTTACATAAAAAGTCACCTCCATGGACATCAACTCCATGTACTTTACTGGAACATGGAGTTGACTATTAAGCATGGAGTTACACTTTTTGATTTAAGATCCAAAATGGGAAAAACTGACAAAGATATTGAAAAAAGAAGGAAGCAAAAGAGAGAAGCTGAGAGAAGGAGAAGAGAGCGAATTAAAAATAATCCTGAGGGATACGAAAAGGCGAGAGCAACAGAAAGGGAAAAATACCACTGAAGAAAAAATACAGGAAAAATAAAAACCATCAGCGAGGAATCAGACAGAAAAAACGCATAATTAGAAAAAGATGGAGAACAGCTTCTAAGAAATACAGAAAATCTAAGAAAACTATGATAGCTGCAATGGAGTTTGCGGAACGCAATTCGTCACCTGCCAGTCCATTTTTAAATGAGCCAAACTTTAATCAGACTCCGAATGAGATTCCGAGAAGTTCAAAAAAGGATTCTGGATGAAAGTTAGCCCGAAAAAATAAAGCTAAAATGTAATATTCAAAAATTGAAGTTAAAGCTACAAAAAACTAAAAATGAATTAGAAAAGTATAAGAAACGATTTTATAAACAAAAAGATAAAAATAAAGCTGATGGGGAAAAATTCCAAGAACTGAGTCCTAAATCGAAAGTTCGGGAGAGCCTTAAAGGTTATAATATGCCTCAAGACATTGAGAGAAAAGTGCTGTTCAGAAGCATTAACAGCACAAATTTTAAAAAATTTTGAAAAATATTAAATCTGTAAAACGTCGAAAATCATTCAGAAAATTATTTTCTGGAGAAATAATAAAGAAATACCGACTTCTTGGAAGAATGAAAAACTTTGCTTCTTATAAAATGCTTAAAAAATCGAATGATAAAATCTCATCTAGGAAAAGACTTTTTAAGGACTGGAATGAGTTTTATCTAAGAGATGAATGCAGTCGAGTTGCTGCAGGCAAAGGTGACACTGTTACTTTCAGGTCAGTTAAGAAGCAAAAGAGATATTTGAATCTCTCCATGAAAGAATTACATCAAAATTTTATCAAGACACATAATATCAAAGTAAGTTATTCTCTATTCTGCGCATGTCGTCCTTTCTGGGTTTTGATACCCAAAACCAGCCTCAGAGAGACCTGCCTCTGCATAAAACATGAAAATTTTAGACTGCTGTTCACAAAAATAAAACTTTTAAGGATCTCTAATAACAATCAAAAGTTTATGTTGCGAAAATAAAATGGAAGAGAGTTGGTTAGAAAAAAGATGCGACAACTCTAAGCAAAAAAAAGTTACTTGGAATGAAATTATTAAAAAGGAATCTGCTGTTTATAAAAAATGGATACTTGTTAGTGAAGAAATAATAAAGGTATTAAGAAGACATGCAAAAAGTCTATGAAGATAGACGTTATTTGTAACAAAGAAAAATGATGGAAGCTCTTCAGCATGACCTTCCAAAGTATATGCAACACATTGCAAACATAAAACATCAGTATCAGTTTATCGACACCTTAAAAGATTCATTAGAAAAACAAGATGTTTTCGTGCATATGGATTTTTCTGAAAACTACCAGTGCAAATACAATAGAGAGATACAAAGTGTGCATTTTGGTCAAGCTAAACCACAAATATGGAGAAATAAAAAGAAACTCGTTTTGCAGTTTATCTGAGAATACCCGTCATGATCACATTGGAATTTTTGCTCATCTTCAACCTTTATTTCAACAAATTTCGGAAAAGTTGATAACATAAGGTGATTTTCTCAGTGACGGGCCGAGGACCCAATATCGGAACAAAAACATGTTTTTTGTTTTTGCTTTCAAGTTTGTAGATATATTGAAACCATCAATCATGACTTGGAACTTTTCTGAAGCAGGTCATAGAAAGGGAGCTCCAGAAGGTATTGGTGGAGTGATAAAACGTACTGCTGATCGATTAGTGGCTTTAGGAGAAGATATTCCTAATCTTAAATGTCTAGTTGCTCTGGAATTCAGTTACGAGTTGTCACTGAAGACTCTTTTCAAAAAATTGAAAGCGAATGCTCAGTTCCAAATAATCTAAAAGCTTTCAAAGGAACTATGTTCATTCATCAAATAAGTATTTTATTTTAAAAAGTGCTTTAAAATAAGAAACGAGCTTGACCAAATAGCACACAATGTTTCGTTACATGTTTAGAGTAAAAAATGTTAATCCAATGTAATTCTAAGATGACAAGCATCCTGCCGTTTTTCGCTTGCGAATTGTCGCCTTTTGGTGGAATCACCCCAATATTTCCATTTTTAATGACAATAAATTATTTAATTTTTTTTCTAAAAGAAAAAATAGAAGCTTTGTCATGCAAAAAAGTTTTAAAGTTAAAAAAGTATATTTAGAATACATCTGGATATTTAAGCAAGATATATCACAGTAATTATGGATTTTTGAGCTATCAGTATTTTTTTTTGATTTTGAGTGTGTAATAACTAAATAATTCTTTCTTGAATGGACAACATTTGTACCCCGAAAAGTGAACCCAGTGTTATAAAGGAAATTAATACTTTTCTAAAAAGTTTGGCTTTGTATGGTTATTAAAAATAATGGAATAATGAATAATTAAGTATTGTTAAATACTTAAATTTTTTATTACTAAGGACCTGTGTTACGGCAAAAGTTACAATGCACACTTTTTAAGTAGACTAAATTCCCAACAAAATGAGACCAATTATGTCAACTTACACCAGTTCCTGAGACACAGCTGTTCAAAGTTGTTGAGATAAGTAAACAATTACGTACTAGACGGGTTTGCAAAATGAAGTACGCCTGGTTAGTAAAATAGGCATTATAATTTATTAAAATAAACATTTTACTAATTAAAACATTCATATGAAAACTGAAATTAAACGTCTAATTGTATTTTATGTACAGCACAGTTAGGGAAATAGTTATTGCTCGCATTTTTTCTAAATTTTTGATGAACCAGGTTCGTCCTCTGAATCCACAGCACACCTTTTGGGGGCAGCTTGCTGAGATATAATTTCTTCATCGAACTGCTCAGGAAGGTCGAAATCGTTATTTGATGGTGCCTCATCAATGAATGGTTTATCAATGTCGTCACACATCAGGTCTGGTACGTTCTCGTAAGTGAAGTAGCTGCAAACAGCCGAGCATTTCAGTCCTGCTTTCCTGCAACCGCAACTGCTGATACAACCTTTTTTGCAGTTACAGAAAATCATATTTAGCAGAGCTTAAGGAGCTGGTGGTGTCTGTAATGTTAGAATTTTGTTTTTCTCCAGGTGATTCTTCAGCATGTCGATGAGTCTAACTTTATTTCTGTAATTCAATAGGAACTTGTCCCGGACAACTGAAGCAATAGTTGTTTCATCGAATATAACATCAGGAGAGGACGTTGCTAAAGCTCTACACAAAAGGTCAGAACTCTTGGTATTTTTGTCCGATGCGTCAGACGGATAGCCATAAGCATTGGACATATCTGGAACTAATTTTTCAAAAAGACGCATTACAAAGCTACACTACTTTGTGGAGCAGATGTCCCGTCTATAACTACGTGCATATCATTCCTCTGTTGATTCTCATTCAGACTCACAGGATTAAAGGCTGTGTAGAATGATGATTTTATGCCCTTCCCAATTCCATCTTTAATAAATAATGACATGGAAAATGGTGACAATTCATGTGTGGAAAAGTTCTTCAACTATTCGTTGGCCTTTTTCAAAACCAAAATACATAATTGTTATCTTACCTCAACAAATTTAAAGAGCTGTGTCTCAGGAACTATCAGGTGTAAGTTGACATAATTGGTCTCATTTTGTTAAAAATGTAGTGGACTTTAATAACTAAACAAGTAACTTTTCTAATAAACCCACTACTTAGGGGTAAAAATTTTCGAAAACTAAAAAAAAAACTGTGATACTTCCTTTATTTGAAATTTTGCAAACGTTTTAATAGCCGTATCTTAAAAACTGTTTAGCCTACCAGAACCAA